ATGAAATTCAGCCACAGTCCAGATTTGTATGCACTATGTACTGATTTTGATGTGGAAGCCAGCCAGTCAGGCAGTCAGCCAGTCGGGCTTTTGCCGGCAACAATTTCAATTGAGCAGGAGAGGGTCCTTTTTGGCCCTCGAGCAGATTTACACCCCACACACACACACACACACACAGAAGAGTAGAGTGAACAAGGCCCTCGACATTTTTACACAGAACTAGAATGGCTTCTGCATTGAGCGGAAAATTACAGCAACATTTTTGAGCACTTGAGAATGAAACTGAAGATGAGAATATATGCTTACCTATATTTGTGGTTAATTTACTCACTAAAACGGTTTGCAAATTAAATTTGTACTTACATTTAAGAAGTTATTTCAATAATTTTATCTGGAAAATTGTAAATTTTGTAGAGAAATATTATTTACAAATTTCAAGCTTCAATGAAAAACCCTTGAAAATAATAAAGAATTTGATTAAGGAGTTTTCTCATGAAGTTTATCAATTAATTTAAATTTCTTTTAGAAAAAATACTTGAGGAAAATCCTGGAAAAAATATTTTAAAAAAACCTTCCCAGAAATTTCCTATAGTTTACAGATTTTTCCTTTACTTAAAACCCATTTTTTCTTATTTAAAAATTAACTTAATTAATTAACTAAGCCAGCGAGCAAAGCTACGAAATGGAAAATACCTTTCTAATACCTTCCCAGGAGTTTCCTTTAATTTCCAGAATTTTCCCCTTACTTTTCCAGTGCACTTTTCGTTCCAAACTAATTGGCTTTCGATTCGGGTGTAATTTTTAAATAACCAAAAAAAAGAAAAGGAAAACCTTAGAAAGGCCTCAACAAATTACCAGTCAAGAATAAAGGGCTCTCTCTTTCGGCTGGGCTGGGACTATATGCCGGCATAATCATAATGGGGACCTAAACCGGACCGGACTTTTGGACGGAAAAGTCTGTCTGGTGCGATAAGGAGCGAGTCCTTTTGTGCTCGCACTTTTGACAAACTACTACTACTCACTCGGCTCGTCAGAGAGAGGCAAACAGGATGCGGATGTGGTTCCGGATGCTGATGCGGGCTTCATTCTGGCCTAACAGAAGGTGGAGGAGGAGGAGGAGGAGAAAACAGGAGCCACACTGTCACCGGCAGAAGTCGGTGCTCTAAAACAATTTGCCATTAACATTAATGACAGCAATCGGTGGGTGTATCGCTTCTCTTCCCACTGGCCAAACAAGCCCGGTGTACGGCGTACGGCGTACGGCCTTTATGATGACGTTACTCCTCCGACGGACATGAATCTGTAATGGAATTCAATAAAAGCTGAGAGTGCAGAAACCGTTTGACACGGAATTCAATCGACCAGGCCCCCTCCGGGCCTGGTGAAGCTGCCAGGGAATCGGGGATTCGAGAGAGAGAGGGGGAATGGTTTGGGGTTCCAGGGTATGGGATTTTCTGGGAAGGATTAAACTCATCAGCCGGACGCTTGTCGAGCTCATTTGTTAATTTTCTGCAATATCGGCGAGTGGCCATCGCCATGGCCCCTGCAGCCTGTGAGTCCTGTGGAATCCTCAGGACCTCGTCCTCGGCCCATCGGCCCATCGTCCCATCACATTTAACATGTGGCAATATTTATTGCCATGTGACAGGGCGACCTGATGGTGGGAGTCTATAGGCTAGGGGATGGCTTTTGTTCTAGGTGGAGTTTAAGTCAAGGCATTAATTGATTGATTCGATGAGAAAGTTGGATATATTTTTGGAGGTTCTTTATAATTAAATCGATAAATGGAAGTTTTAAAGGTATTTTATCATATTTATTGGTAAATATTTTAAAAACAAAAATATTTATTATATTTTATGGAAAGGAATAGCCCCAAAAAACAAGGTACTTTAATCAAGTATCGATATATATTGATGATCAAGAATATTGATTATTAAATTGTAATTAATTGATAGATTAATTAATTTAATATGTATTTTTTCATATATAAATTTACATAATTTAAAAATAAAAAAATGAATATTAAATATTACATTAATAAATCAATTAATTATAACCTAAAATTCAATATTCTTAATAAATCGATATTGTGAGATTGATATAATCGATAAATAATTACTTATTGATTTTATATTAATTATTTAGCTAAAATTCTTTCTTCTGAAAAATGTAAAATGCCTATGGATGTGGTACAATCAGTATCCTCTGCTTTGTTTACTTATTTATCGATAGTTTAATATTTTTTCGATATACTAATATCGATATAATTTAAAAGTCCATATTTATGGATTTAATATTTATTTGTTACTTATTTTCTGCTGCCTGTATTATGATGTTACTTAAAAAAAATATATTCTTTTTATTTCCTATTAAATTATTAAGTAAATATTCCACCTCCATTGGCATCGATCACTCACTTTAGTCGAAAAACCCTGTTGCATGGATTTTCCCCTCTGAATAATGACCACTCGAATCGTCTTTGGCGAGACATTAGCCTTGACGAATCCAATTCCCCATTGAAATTGCAGCAAATGAGAATTGAATTGCAGCGGCGGCCACCGTTCGCGAATGTGGCGTCACTCTCCATCTCCTCTGCTGCTCTTCTGCTAATTTTCCTAACCCGCCCCCCCTAATTTTCCATCGCAGCCCAAATGAGATTATCGATCCAAGTCGTGGCTCCCACATGGAGCTATGACAGATTGTCCAAGCTATTTGCCTGTTTGCTGCCAATTGCCAATTGGCAATCGAACTCAGGCCGAAATGCTGTGGGATTAACACGGGTGCGAATGGAGCAACGCCTGCGGTGGTTGACAGGGGTTAATGGGGGGAGGGAATAACCTCAGGTTAAATGCGAGAAAGCCCTGGCGAAAGTCATTTCCAAAGACTAAGTTCCATTATTCGCAGTTTGAGCGGATTTTTTTTAAACAATTAAGCTTATTTTTTAACTCCAAAACTATGCCTAACCTCTGGTTAAATTTGGTTAACTGGGTTTAAGGAGAGGCTAGGCTAAGGTCTCAGTTATATCTAACTTATTTAAGCTAAATTTTGGGTATATTTTAGAAGGGTTTTTATATTAAAATAGATTTGTTTTTTTATTTCTTAAATATATATAATTAATTTCGTAAACCTCTGGTTAAATTAAGGGCTAACAAATAGGAAGTTTATGTCCTCAAAACTCGCCAAGATAATTTATAAATATTTTTCATACAAATTGTATATAAAAAGGGGTTTATTGTTAAATTCAAAAATATGCCTTAATAATTTTCTTAACCTCTGGTTAAATTCTATAGAATTAATTAAATTAATTAAGAGAGTTTAACTCTTCAAAGCTGTCTTTGCTAATTTATAGACATTTTTCATAACAATTTTTTATAAAAAGGGGTTTATTTTTAAATTTAAAAATATACCTTAATAATTTTCTTAACCTCTGGTTAAATTTTATAGAATTAATTAATTTTAACTATTATTAACTGCTCGTACCCCTCGTTGAGAGCATTCCCCCGTCGTTTTGTATCCACTCAATAACTCTGTGACACTGTGACACTCCCATCTCGCCGGCTGACTTCATTTTTAACGGTCAAGTTGTCTCCACAACTTGCTTTTATTGCATTTGCCCGGGAAGAAGAAAGCCATCTGATGGCATTTCATCCGATCCGATCCCAGCCAGCTCTCCCCCATCCCCCATCCCCCAAACCGGATGTCGTTTCCAATAAACGGCCATCGGAACGGGGCGTTAAGCTGCACATACACACTCTTCATATGTATATGTATCGAAGGAGCATACATATCTCTTTATATATAACACACATATGTAGCATATGTGGGTGGCCCTCTGTGTGTGTTGCCTGCCACTTTAATTAATTTCTTTAAGTTCATTAACGTTTGACTTGTTGGGGGCAATAAGAAGAGAGGGAAGCGGGAACGGGACCAGGACAGGGAATGGGCGGTGATATTGGTAGAAGGGCACTTTGCCACTTTGATGACATTGTTGGCCATTTTCTCGATTGGCGACTGTCACTCGGTTTATGCTTTTATCACACTGCCTTCGGGGGTTTATATAGTGTTCACTCGATATGAGTTTTGGCAAGTGACAGTATCTCATTGTCATTGAGGTTATATCTAAATTAAAGACAGGTTCTTATCTTAATTGGGAAATATAAAAACTTTGGCTTGTTTTATAGTTTTTCTTTTATTATGTTTTTGTATTTCTTTTATTTAAATATTTTTTTTTATTATTTTAATATTTGTTTATATTATTTTAATTTTTTTTTTATTATTTTAAATTTTTTTTTATTATTTTAATATTGTTTTTATTATTTAATTTTTTTTTTTTTAATATTTTTTATTATTTTAATATTTGTTTATATTATTTTAATTTTTTTTTTTATTATTGTAAATTTTTTTTTATTATATTAATATTGTTTTTATTATTTTAATATTTTTTTATTATTTTAATATTTTTTTTTATTATTTTAATTTGTTTTTTATTATTTCAATAAATTTTTTTATTACTTTAACTTTTTTTAAATTGTATTTATAATTTAAATATTTTTTTATTATTTTAATTTGTTTTTTATTATTTTAATATATTTTTTATTAGTTTATTTTTTTTTATTATATTAATATTTTTTTTATTATATTATTAATTTTTTTATTATATATTCTCTTATTATTATTTATTATTTTATTATTATTTTTTTTATTATTTTATTGAATTTATTTATTTTTGATTGAAAAAGGCGAATTAAATTAATAAGCCTAAAACAAAAATAAAATAGGGAAAAAACTTTTTGTAAGGCAACTTTAATAATTAGCCTTGAAAAAACTTCTTGTAAGGCACATTTATTTAATAGGAAAAAAAAATCTTATAAAAGTCTTTAACTCTATATAAAAAAATTTATATAAATAGAAGTCAAGGCTCTTAATGGCAGGTTGCGACTACGAAAGGTCCGTTTGTGAGGGGCAACTTCTTGGACTTGGAATTCGTAGACATGAAGTTCTTAGTCTTCGATTTCTTCGACATCTTCTTCTTCGGAATCTTCTTCTTCGACAGTTTCTTCTTCGAGGGCATCTTCTTCTTCGTCATCCTCTTCTTCGACATCCTCTTCTTCTTGGGCATCTTCTTCTTCTTGGGAATCTTCTTCTTCGACATCTTCTTCTTCTTGGACATCTTCTTCATGGTCCTGGACTTGGTCTTCAACTTGTTCCTGAACTTCAACTGGTCCAGCATCTTCCTCCGTCTCCTCTCTCAGCCACTCACTGTTGAGTATCTCCACCAGCGAGGGCCGTGCTGCTGGGTCCTTCTCCAGACACCAGCTCACCAGATCCCGTAAGGCCTGGCTAGCATTTAGCCAACCCTCGGCCTCCTGATCAAACGGCTCCTGCTGTATGCGATTCAGGAGCTGCTCTTCTGCCTGCGAAATGTGCTCTACCTCCAAATCATAATGATACGGACCAGATCCCACAATCATACAGTAAAGCGTAACACCCAGCCCATAGATGTCCACTGCTGGGGTATAGGCCACACGGCGGTTGTTATGGGGCGTTATTAGCTCTGGCGGGGCATATAGCGGGGTATAGCGTGGATAGTCTTCCCATTGCCGGAAATCTCTGCTATAACTAAAATGTTTGAGATAATAGATAATAGAAATAATACTTAGAAAGGAAGGTATAAAATAGAGAATCTCACCGGGCCAGGCCAAAGTCCACCAGCTTAATAGTCATATCCGTCTCGTTGGCAAACACTATATTCTCCGGCTTGAGATCACCGTGTATAAAGTGATGCATATGCAGGTGCTGGACAGCACTGACCATCTGCCGGAAGAGCAGGCGGCTAAGTTCCTCATTCAGCTGGCCACTCGAGATAGCATGGAATAGATCCCTGCCTCTTAGGTACTCCATCATGATCCAGATCTCGCAGCTGTTCCGATAAGTCCCATAATAATGGACAATATTCTCGTGCGAAAATGTCATCAAGGCATCCACCTCAGAGACATGGAATTTGGACAAGTGTATGATCTTGACCAGGATGTTGTCATCCATGAGGAAACAGGTGCCGCAAGCACTGGCACCGTTCAACAGCCGGCGGCCCAATACGGTATCATCCGGAAGTGTGGGTATGATCTAAACCAAAAAAAAAAATATAATAAGAGTTAGTAGAAGGTAATCTATATTTGGGACACTCACATCTGCCTCTGGATTGCGAAACTCTACATCTTCCTCGTCGTGATCACGTCTCCATTCCAGAAGGCGAGGAGATATATAGTCAAATCCATTGTACATGCAAAGGTCACTGGGCAGAGCCACCTCGCACAGGGGCAACTCTATTGGCTTGGAGGTAAAATTGGTATCAAAGTGACTCACATCCTCGATGCCCTCGAGGGTTGGACGAAAGGGCATATTGTGTTGCTTTTGTGGTAGCATCGACCAATCGATGCCCTGGAGAAATTCATGTGCCCGAATCTCCTCGGCACCCATACGCCTATTTATATCCGTTTCCATTAGCCTCCTTATAAAGTCTCTTGCCCCTTCGCTGAGATGCAAGGGAAGCTCGATATTACCATGAAAAATCCTTTGGCTTATTTCTTCCCGGCTTAGCAAAGCAAACGGATTGATACTGGTGAGCAGCTCCAAGGTAAACACACCCAATGACCACCAATCAACTCTCGTGTCGTAGCCATCGGGGCCAATTACTATCACCTCCGGTGCCATGTACGACAGCGTGCCGCAGAAACTTTTCGTCCGGTTCAATTTTTCGGCAATCAAAACAGTGGCTAGACCAAAGTCGGCCACCACAATGTGACCCTCGCTGTCGATCAGAATATTCTCCAGTTTGAGGTCACGATAGACAATGTTTGCCTGGTGCAAAGCCTCCAAAGCCAAAACCAATTCGGCCACATAGAGGCGCACTGCCGCCTCCGGCAGGGGTCCCTCTAACTGAAGGCGCCGGTACAGCTCACCACCTTGGATAAAGTCTGGAAAATTTCCAAATTAATAGATTTTTCGACCCGTTTGTTGTGGCAACTTACCCGTGACCAGAAAGAGATGATGTTCCGACTGAAAGGCATAGTGAAGATTCACCATAAAGGGTACTTCCTGTATAGCTTCTAGGATAACACGCTCAATTTTAATACGCTCCGCTGACTTCCAGTCGCGGAGGGGTATCATCTTGGAGATAACCTTCATGGCATACACTTGCCCCACATCTAAACCGTTTCGCTTTCGTACCAAAAATACCTTGCCGTGTGCTCCTTCACCAATGAGACGTAGGATTTGAAAATCCCCGAAACTTACGGCCATTTCCGTGTCCAACTGGACGCGGTTTTGTAGATCGGTGTCCCTCTGCAGCCGGTTGAGATGGGTTGTTCTGTTCAAATCGATGGGATCGTCTGTTGCAGCATCTCTGTTGGAGTCAGGCTCCTCATCCTCGGGAGAGTCTGTGTCTTCGTTGTATACAGGAGAGTGGGAATTCTGCACGACCGACTCAGGCTCCTCGTCAGCTCTATCTTCCTGCTGGTGCTCCTCATCGATGACCAAGACCCCTTCTTCATTATTGTCATCCACCAACTCCTCTGGCTGTTCGTCCTGCTGCGCTGCGATGACCAGGTTTACTGGTTCTTCATCTTGATAGGGGGTATTGTCGTTATCTGGCTGCTCTGCCATCTGTCCATCGTCAGCGCTGTTGTTCTCATCCAAATCCACGTTCACGTGTAGACTTTCGGTATCTAAACTCTGTCTCTCTCTGTCCACAGACTCGCCAATGACTAGGTTTAATGGTTCTTCATGGCGGGCCTCGTACTGCTGCTCTTCCCTTAACTGCAAATCATACTCATTGATGACCAGATTCTCTGCCTCTTCATGGGGGAACTCGTCGTTGTCTAGCTGCTCTGCCTGTCCATCATCCTGATTCACGGCTTCGTCAGCACTGGACTCGGATGAGGCCACGTTCACGTGTAGACTTGCGGCCTCCAAACTCTGTCTCTCTCTGTTTGTAGGTAAATCCCCGACTAGATTCTCCAGTAGATCAAGCCAGTTGTTGTCTAGATATCTGTCCAAGTCATCCTCATCGGAAGAATCAGAGCTGATAATAACGACTTCATCGGCGTCGTCTCTAGGTTCAACTATGGCATCCCCTTCATCCTTTGGTCCCTGGTTGTGGTGATTCCCATTTTCCACCTCTTTATTCGCATCTGACTCCTTCTGCTGCTGCTTATTATCAGATGCCTTTCTCAAACGAGAAGTGGAAGTGGGTTGTTCCTCCTCCTCATCAGTGCTTGTCTTGACCTTCTTGGCCGGCGGTGGCGATGACGGCGTGCTTTCCCTGCGCCGCTTGTTGCCATTACTACTGGCGGCGACCGGGGTCGGTTCCTCAACCTCTGGGTTGGTTTTGGGTTTTTCGTCTTTTTGGTCGCTCATTCTGGATTTTTTAGAATTTTCGTGAATATAAGATTGGCAGAGATGATTTTTTGAAAGGGACGAATAATGTTACTTTTACTTTTTTTTATTTATTTATTTATTTATTTATTTAATGCTAACTAAACTCTTTTTTTTATAAATATTATTTATAGTTTGAAAATTATAAAAATTGTTTGCTTCTTTAATGTAAGTATTAATTTTGTTTTACAAATTTTAAAATATGTTTCTCATACTTTTAAAAATCTATTAATATTAATTATTAATTTTTATTAATTTATCAGATTTAAGTATGTTAAATTAATTTTAATTAAGAATTAATAATAATAATATTACCTATTACGTGAAATTAATTATTATTAATATATAAATATTATTTAATATAAGTGATACTTATAGTTTGCTTCTTCATTCTTTTCAAAAATTTCTTTATTAAAAATTTAATAATAATTTAATATTAATACTAATTATAATTAATATACATTTTCTTCCACCATTAATCTTTATATTAAATTTTATAATTAATAATAATAATAATATTATTATTATAATTATAATTAATATATCATACTTAATAAATATGATAAATAGGATAAATAATATATGTATAATTAATAATTAATATCAATATTACGACTATTCCGACAATTATGATATATATATATTATATTAATATTTTTGAAAATTAATTAATTTACTTTAATGTAATGAATTGATTAATTCGAATTATTAATTTATATTAATTATTATATTATATATATTATAAAGATAAATAAATATTATTATTAGTAATTTTTATCAGTTACGCCTTGCCTTGTCACTGTCACACACGTTTTTTTTTCTGTGTATGCACTTATTCCAATCCAAAAGCAAGCACCGTCATGCACACATATACAAGCATACATAAATCCTACGCGCATGCGTCCCAGCTCACATACACCAATGCACACGCGCTCATACACACACACACACACACATGAAGTTGACGCGCATGCGTCCCAGCAATTTTTTTTTCTCCTGCGGATGCAGCGCCTCCTCTTTACTGTTCCTGATAAGTCTTTCGATTTTCCCGGATTTCTATATATTTGAGTAATTTCCATTTTTGTTCTTTTCTCTAAAACATGCCCATATTTTGAACGTTTTTTTTCCTTTTTACTAACACAAACACAAGCGACACAAGCCTGTGCGCATGCGTTTCTCGTGGTGATCTTTTTTTTCGCTATGAATTTATTTGCTTCGCACACACAGTTATTCCCTTTTCCCGCAGAAATATATATTATTTATTTAAACAGTATGCATTATTTTAAACTTAACAATTTGGATTTTCAAACGCTTTTCTCATTCACTAACACAAACTCACATGGCAAAGGGCGCCTGCGCGTGGTTGCTTTTACCTAGGGGAAACCCTTACACTTATTGTTGAAAACTTACTTATTTAATGTTGTTCTAGGCCTTTTTATTTGCAGTTTCCTATTGGTTTTTTTTTAGCAAAGAAATTGTACACTTCAAATTCACTGAAAATTTAACCGAGACGAAAATTCCAAGAACTCGTCAGTTGAAAACGCCGGCAGGAAAAGAAAGAAAGTGTTGGAAAATGTTTAGAAGAAAAAAAATGCTAGGGCTAGCTTTTAGAGAAACAAAATTGTATCGATGAAGCGATGTTTTCTTTTTTTTAATTTACAACAAAAAAAAGAAATGATTACTGATTAGTGATGGATTAGTAATTGGAGATTAAGTTTGTTATAATAAACAGTCTAGTTAACGCAAAAAAATAATAAATAAATGCAGAATGTATATAGCTAAGCATTATCGATAGATCTATCGATAAGGGGGTGGCGTTGCCACCTTACCATAAGGTAAGGTAGAGTACAGTACACACTAATTCTTATAGTCAAGAAACGATTTTTCATTATTCATTGATTGAAATTAAAAGCATTAAAAAATAGTATAAAAAAGAGAACAGCTATTAGTTAACATTTTTAATAAAAAATTAATAAAAAACATTGTAACATACGTTTTTTTTTAAGTATACGATATACTAAAGAATAGAATTCCCCCATATGAGAGTCTTTACGTTACGTAACTTGAATTTGATTGTGTTTGTCTTGGCCCTAGATGCCAAACCATACCATATATGGGCATTTAAGATTGTGCAGGGCTTGCTTTTGGTATATTTTTGGACCCTTTGAGCCCGTGAAAGGTGTTTAAACCATTCGCGTTCCAATTCATTTTTCAAAGCTAAAAACCCCACCCGAACCCTGAATGTTTTTCTCCCTCCCCCCTCGATGTTCATTTTTTGGGCAGCTCATGAATATTCATAGACATGAGCGGGGCCAAAGGACCACCATCACCATCACCACCACCACCTCGGCTATCTGACACAGTCAGCACTCTGCAAGGGAGTGGGAAATATGGCCGGGAGTATTTTGAACAAGCCTTGAGGTCAAAGTTCACTAGGGAAACCAAAGAGAAAAAGGAAAACAGAAAGGAAAAGGCTCTCCGACTACTACTTAGGTGGCGATATACATATATGGTACATATTTTGTCTTTAAAATTGAATTAAATTTTTGTTTTTTGTAATAGTTTCTTTTGAGCTTTTTAGTTTCACAATGTAGCTTGACTATTTCCTAAAAAAGAAAACACATTCCCCCTTAAGAACGTTCTCTAAATTGTTTTAAATTCTTCAAGAAAACATAATATTTATAAATTTTATGAATGCAGCATTTTAATGAGCGTTGAAAAACTGTTAAATAATTATTACAACTTAAATTTTTGTGGTGTGAAAATAAAGTCAACGATTTTTGTTGTTGTTAAGATTGCCTTGCAGTGAAAGAGGTTTTTTTTTTCATGGAACTGGAAACTTCAGGCTTGATCTCTATGGTTGTGTCTTAGTATACTATTCATAGGGTGTATCATATCAAAAATTTCGACATCATTCATCATCTTCTTTTTTTGCTTCCGGCTTGGCAAAGTGTTCGGTCCAATAACGAGCCACCCGATCGTGCTCCAAGCGATTGGTTTTGTACATTTCGGCAACGTAGCTGTCCAGGGGATCATCCGGATTGCAATCGCCCATTAACAAATAGATGGAAAGTAAAACCTAGAAATAGGGTTTTGAATATACATATTTTTAATAAAAAAAAGCTCATAGCTCACCTTGGATACCGTGATAATGGGCGACCAGCGATCTCTCAGTAAATCCATGCAAATGGCACCGTATTTGTCCACATTGCAGTGATAGACACGCGTCACAAAGCGTATCATTGGCGGCTTAAACGGATACGCGGAAGGGAAGTTTATATCCAGGCGAAAATGTCCGCCCTCGTAGACAGTCTCAATGGGGCCATTTATAATGGCCACCCAATGGGTTAGATCAAGGGCCTTGATGGACACACAGCAATATGGCGGCGGATTGGCAAGAATATCTTTCAGCTCGTGCTTGAGGCGATGTACATTGCAATGGGAAATATCGGGAATATCATTGCAGTTTCCAGATCCCAGCGGGCGTCTTCCTACGGCGCTACCAATGTTGGCCACGTGCTCCACCATGGTGATGATATCTGGCAAAACTTCAGCGATGGTTGGTTCAGCGGCGGCGGCATCAGATATCTCCTCAATCTGGGCTGGTTTCTCCTCAGTCATCTTTGGCGGCAATTGAATTGGTTTGAAAAATATATAAACTTCTTTTTGTCGGACTTTTTTAATGAATTTTGAACTTTGGCCAAGCCACGCAACGAAGCCTACTTAAAGGCCAGAACGGAAAAGGAAGTAAAAAACAAGCATATCAGTGTGGCCAGATGCCAAATTCGGGGGAAAATCCCTAAAAATCTTAAAAAGTTGCAAGTTTACCCTAAAAAATCCAATCCTTTAAGGCGTAATGTATTATTTTGACGTTGTGGCAACTTTGGCTTGGACAAAAAGCTGAGTGATCAAAAATTAACATTTTTTACCCTTTATACTTTTAATTCTATGTTAATTCTAAGTGATTGAATTTTTACATTCAAAAATGTTTTCGGATAATCATTATTTACGGTCTCATCAACAAAATCTAGTTAAAAAACCTCTGATCTGGGAGCACTGAACGAGATTCTTCTATATTGGTGCTGGTAGAATGTAGAGATAGCAGGCATTATCGATAGATCTATCGATAAAGGGAGCCAGTGGCGTTGCCACCTTGTAGGTAGAGTACAGTAGACACCAATTCTTATAGCTACAAATATTTCCAAGAATTTTAAATGATTTTATAATTATATAGTTAATATTTCTGGTTTAAATTCAAATCTTCATAAATGTATTTTCTTTTTAAGGCTGTATTTATTAAAATTTTAGATGAGCTTAATTTACTACAAATTAACTAACCTATAGTTCGCCAGAAGATTTATTTTCCTGGTTATTTTCAGCATTCTTTCGCCTTAAATCGAATTGACTTCTTTTAGGTGCTTCTTTTGCATTTATTTACTGTTTTATTTTGTGTTCCTTTTTTGAAGGAAAATTAGGAAAGTGAAGGAGCAGGACAGGATGCTGTGGCCAGGACCAAAAAGGGAGCCAAGAAGGAGCCCAGAGGAAGGGCGAATAGATCTAAGGAAAGCGACACTCAATTTGCGAAATGCAATAAATTGAATGAAAAGTGTGAAAATGAAGAGGAGTCATCAGCAGCGGCGACAAAACACTAACGACCAAACACAGAGAAAGAGAAAGAGAGAGAGAGAGAGAGACAGAGAGAGAGAGAGAGAGAAAGATAAAAAGAGATGGGGATAGAGCAAACGCTAAGAAAGCCAGAAAATGTAAATGAAAATTCAGGAAAATTTAATAATAAAAACATCAGCATAAAGTGAAACGCATAAAATCCAATGAAATGTAAAAGGCGCACCCGCTGGACTTTCTTCATGTTGTGTCCTGGTTCGTTGTCCTGCTCGCTCTGCACTTGAAAAAATACGTTTGAAGGATATTAAAAGATAAAATTTATATAATTTATTTATATTTATATTTTTTATTTTATTTGAAAAGGCGTCCTTTGGAAGGACTTCAAAATAATTAGAGATTATATTTCAAGTGTAGGCCGTCTCCCAAGGATGTGTGTGTGTGTGTGTGTGGGAAATAGCGTCGGGTAATCACATTTCTCTGGTATCTGGTATCTGTTCTAGCACGGCAGTAGTGTCCTGCAGCCGGCAGGATATGCTCAATTGAACATGTTGATTGCTGACAGCGCGTCCTCCTCGTCCTGACTCCCCCCCGATCCCTCAGCAAATGAGGAGTCAATTGAAAATCAAGTTAGAGCCGGCTTTAATGGAATTAGTTCTACATGGCAGCGAGAGGCATCTGCGAGATGCAAAGCGAGGCAGCAGCTCAAAGGATGTGTGTGTGTGTGTGTGTGTGTGTGTGCCGGGGTATTATAATACTATATATATATGTATATATATAGCCCCGGAAGTTCCACTTACTTGCCCCTTACTTAGGACGACGAGTGCTGTTTTGTGGGGCACACACACTCACACACAGGCAGACACTTACACCTGGGCAAACATTTAAATGGAGCTCGATTGGAGCGTTGAAAAGCGTGTAAATGAAGTTAGAGACGAGAGCAGAGCCACACCTGTGTTTTTAGCTAGTACACACACCCTGACTAATACCCTGGAACCAAAATTTAGGGGGGGATTGATGGGGTGAACAGCAAGAAGGGGGTGTAAAGTTGATTTTAGTTTAAGTAACGGGAATAATTACAAATTTATTTATTTTATCTACTATTTAGCTTTGTTAATATATATTTTTTTAATACTAAGGTTTTTGTTTTTACTTTAATATTTTTAAAATTTTTAAATTTAATTAATTTTAATTTTTAATTTAATTTTCATTTAATATTTTAATTTATTAAATATATTTTTTAATATTTAATATTTAAATTTTTTCCTATTTTAAATACAAATAAATTTATTTTTAATTTTTGTTTTTACTTTAATATTTTTAAAATTTTGTAATCTAATTAATTTTAATTTTTAATTTAATTTTTTTTAATATTTCAATTTATTTAATTTATTTTTTATATTAATATTTTAATTTTACTTATTTTAAATACAAATTAATTTATTTTGAGTACTCCAAAAAGCACTAGAGTTTTTAAAAACCCTTAAAACGGTGTCCAAAAGTATGCAATGATTTTGTTAAGGTAAAGTTGGCAATGGAAATAATTTAAATAAGGTTTTTTAGTTGTTATTTAGCTTTGTTTTTGTTCTTAGAAAAATGTAGAATTTTTATTAAAAATTTATAATTTTTTTTTATTTAAAAAATATTTACAGTTTCCCTCAAAAGCATGCAATGATTGTTTTAGGTACCAAATTTAGTGTGCTTTCGTTTTATTTAAAAACTAAAATAACTTTAAAAGGTTTTAAAAATCCTAGTAATTTCTGTTGAACCCCTATAATCCCCACTCTCCTCTCCCTATCAATATTTTAATGGCTTAAATATTTATTTAAATACAAGAAAATAATTTCATTTTAATAACCAAATTTTTGCCTAAGCAAATCCATGATTTTCCCCCCTCCCAAAGCTAAACTCTCTCACAAACTCTTTACCTTTGAACCTCGAATTACAATGCCATATTCTAGAGGACATGTTGCCCAGGATAACTGCTGTGCTGATAGCGCCAAGGACTCGCCAGAAATGATTGAATGAGTGCTGGCTTGAATGCTTGGGCGAACTGGTGCATGAATCAATGAATGACTGAGTGCACGAAGGGCAATGGCAATGGCTATAAAGTGTGGCACTGGCACTGGCGGTCTATGTGGTGTGTGGTGGGTGGGGTGGTATGGAAAACTGTAAAACGGAAAACTGAAAACTGAAAACTGATGGGGTTTTTACCCGGTTTCCCTGCGACAGCTGATGGGTTATTGGACGCTTGCGGTAGTTGTGCCTGGGTGCCGGGTAACTGCCTTTGTAGCTTAATTGAATTTAAGTGCGACGCACAATATGCAATATTGCAAAATGAATCATCGCACATCGTACACATGTATTCACTTTGCTCACAATTTTCACCATCACCCCCCTCGTCCATAGCTTTTTCCACTAGTTTTTCCTCCCTAGCTTTTCCTGCTCTGACACTACTGCTGCTGTTGCTGCTGCTGCTGCAAAGTGCATTTGACTTTGTTGCACGATTTGTCGCCGTACTTGAAGCCACTTGCCAAAACGTCAGTGTCAAAGGAGCCGAAAGCCGAGTACTTGGCAAACTTTGTTAGTTGCGACTAAAATAGTTTTATTAACGGCCAAAACGCTTCACTTTTCATGCAGAAATATATTCAAAATGGAGTATAGGGGGTTGCTATGTAGAGTATGGCATTTAATTTAATCCGGAAAAAAGTTAACACCCACAGAGGAGTTTTTTTATTTTGTGTTTAGGGTATTTTTTATAGGGTAAAGTATTTATTTTATCAAGTTAAACATTTTTTAAAATATTATTATTAATATTTAAATATATATATATATATATTTTTTAATATTTTAAAATTTATTTAGAAAATTTTTCCAAGTTAAGTTATTTTTAGTTTTGGAATACATTAATATTAAAATATAAATATTAAATATTATAATATATATTTATTTTTTTAACGTTTTGATATTTATTTAGGCAATTTTTTCAAATTAAGTTATTTTAATTTATTTATTATTATTTTTAGTTTTGGAATAAATTTGGAATATTTGATTAAAAAAAATAAGGTTAAGGTATTTCTTACAAAATTTACGTATTTTTTATATGTATTTTTTTTAAGGTTATTTTTAAACCTATAAAACACTTTTTAGTTCCTAATAAAATCCCTTTGTTGAAAGTTAATACCTTTTTCCCCAGTTTAAACAGGACTTTCTTCAACAATTTTGTTTAAATATATTAAAAAATATTTATATTTATATATATAAGACTCACGATGTGATTGCTTGCCATGATTTTGGACTGCAAATTTAAGGGGCTGAATGAATGCACACTCGTGTGGCACTCACTTGGGCCTGCCAAGTGTTGTGCTCAACTTTGGAGCATCGTTAAATGTCGCTTTAAAAAGTTGCTGCCCCCCTGTAGCCACGCCCCTCCTTGCTATGTCCGATTTTTCAACCATTTTTCCTTATTTTTCCCCCCACTTTTCCTTCATTCTTCTCACCGTTTTCACTCCGCTTTGCTCACCGAACCAGTTACAGCACATAAACAAACAGTGCCAAACAAACAACTCCGATGTACGGTTCCACCTTGCCCCCCCCTTCAGCACACCTTCCCCCTGCAAATAAAAAGCACTGAGCGAAAATCGATGTGCATAAAAGAGTAGCCAACAAGTGAACAAAACAAAACAAAACAAGCCAACGACTAAAAAAAAATTTAAAAAATAAAAAATACTGTTGAAAAAAAAGGAAAAAATGGGAGGTGGCAGAAACTTGGACCAGTCCACATTAGGGCAGGACCCTAAAAATCCCCACTTTTCAGGAGGAGAAAAAAAAAGTAACGAAACAGAAGAAAAATGTCACACGGCTGAAAATAAGGAATTTCTGGGTTTTAAGTCGACTAAAAAATACCTCTTCTTGGATTTATTTGATTTATATTTTTCTAAAGCTATATTTTTGTAGTTTTGTTGTTTTTTTTTATATAATTTATTTTTAAAAATATTTAAAATAATAATATTAATATTAATATTATACAATTAATATATATTTATATTTTAATATTTTATTTTACTTATACTTTATTTTTTTAATGTTTTATATTTCTTTTTACAAT